ACATGATTGTAGTTGTATCCATCCATCTTCTACCACTTACTCCTTTTCAGGGTCACTGGGAACCTGGAGCCTATCCCAGGGAGCATGGGGCACAAGGCCGGGTACACCCTGGACAGGTGCAAGTTGTAGTAGTATCCTAATAGTTAAATATACTAATAGAGAATCTGGCAATGGTCAAATCCAAGAATGGTTGTTCTGACTAAATTCATGCAAAAAGTGAAGGGTTAAAACTGCACATTGCTTTTAGGATCTGTGCAGCTTTTAGGTTCTGTGGTTAATGAAAGCTTTCTTATAAACTTGCTGACTCGTATGCTAGGTAATGCCGCTTGAACTAATTGCTTCATCCAAAATGACAAATTATATTATTATAGTGTAATGTTTTCTGAAACTCCAGTTTAGTCACAGTTCACCTAATATCTGAATTTTACTGCATGTCACTGAAAGCTGTCGGTTACACAATAAGAATCTCATTTTATGCTCCATGACGCAAATTATATAGCTTTGATTTCCATTGGGCCCTAGCTATAACTTATTTCCATTGGTTTTTGTTTTTTTGTTGTTGTTGGGTTTTTTTTTGTAACTTTTTTGTAATGCCTTTGTAGCTATAAATATGGTGGAGACTGTGTGGGACTACAAATATCACCCTCTGACAGATGAGTCTTCATCCAACAACAGGTAGCTAAAACCTTATTAATTATAGCAGGTTTTATTTCTTATCTGAGAGAAATGAGAGGCTTGTTTTTCATAAATGTTTCCAATTTGTGCACAGTTTGTGCACTTTCATTACAATTGATACTGGTTAAAAGTGTTCATTGTGGATCATTAATGTATTTATTTGTTAATTATAACAATTTAATTTAATTTAATTTATATAGGAATGATTTAGCCCTTAAAGTAAAATATTGACATCACTGTTATCATGAAATCTCACTTTATCTGTCTGGGCAGTATTGCCACCAGATTGTTTATTTGTTTTGTTTTGTTTTGTTTTTTTAATTGATGATATTATTGACTCCAATAACACGACAGCTGATGACTAACAAAATATTCACGTCCATTATGCCAATGATTCAGCATCAAAATACAAAAATCAATGATGACTAAATTAATATGTTTCTCATGAGATGTACAGTCATAAAAAAAAATTTGTTTGTTTTTTTTTTTTTGGCTTGTTTGTTTTTTTTAGAAAGCTTGCTAGTATTGTTCAAAGCATCTGAGGAGTGTATCAGGACTGGGATCTTATAGGACTCAACAAAAAGTTGCATGAGCATGAGGTTTGTACTTTTTTGGTCTGTTTGACTTTTGTACTTACCTTTACTTTTGATACATTTCTAGAATCCATCCATCCATCCATCTATTTTCCATACCTCTTATTCTACACAGTGTTGCAGGGCAGCCTGGAGCCTATCCCTGGGAACTCAGGGCACAAGGTGGGCATACGCTGGGAAGGGTGCCAACCCATCATAGGGCACAATCGCACACACATTCATACACTGCGGACAATTTAGAAATGCCAACCAGCCTGCAACACATGGTTTTGGACTAGGGGAGGAAATCCCCAAAGCATGGGGAGAACATGCAAACTCTGTGCACGCAGGGCAGAGGAAGGATTCGCGCCCCCAACCCTGGAGGAGTGAGGCAAATGTGCTAACCCTTAAGCTGCTGTGCCCCCAAACATCCTGAATATAAATTAGAATATAAATTATAAAAATATATAGATCCACAAATCCCTGCATTGCTACACTGCGCTTCCAATATTTGAAACAAGTCTTATCTTTTTACAGCAGCTTTCTCTTTTAAGTCTAATAAGCTGCGAATTTAGATTCAAAATAAATCCATTTTAATCAAAGCCAGCAACATTTAATTATTGGTAATAATAGTATAGTATAGTATAGTGTCTTAGCATGTTTTCCTCGTACCGCTAAGACTGGGGGTTTGAATCCCACGTCTGCCCTGTGTGCACAGAGTGTGCATGTTCCCCCCATGCTTTGGAGGTTTCCTGTGTCTCCCGATATCCTCCTGCAGTCCAAAAACATGTAGCGTTGTAGGCTGAAAGGCCGCAGCGTGTGAATGGGTGTGAATGTGTGAGAGATTGTGCCCTGCAGTGGGTTGGCACTCTGTCCATGGTGTCTGTCCATGGTGTCCCGACCTTGTTCCCCAAGTTCCCTGGGATAGGCTCCAGGCTTCACGCGACCCTGTGTAAAATAATCAGTACAGAAAATGGATGGAAGGTGTCCTATTACTAGTATTGTTTACATTTTAACTCCAAAGATAAGCTATGCTTCTAGAGGCTAAATGCTTTTTTTTTGTTGTTCTCTCCTCATGCAATCCGACTGTTTGTGGTAAAAGAAACCAGCTTATTCATTTCCAGTGATCAGAAGACTCAGCTGGGTTCCTCTTTCACATTCAGTTTAAATCCCACAGCTATGCTTTGGCTACGAAATATGGCATGAGCGGTTCTCCATTTTAGCATTGTGTCTTGAAAACAACCGAGTCAGCATTCAAATAGTAAGAACCAAGATTTCTCAAACAATCTTTCAGATACATCCGGTTATAAATAAATAAATAAATAAATAAAATCATTTAATTATAATTATGTCAACTGAGATGACATTAGAACTTCAGGCTTGTTTAATGTAATAACATCTTTTTGTTTATTTGTTGAAGGTTTAATGAAATCAGTTAAATCTTGTTATTTGTGTGATTATGGATCATGTGACTATTCACATGTGCAGACTGTGGCATTAACAAGATTTTGCTCATCTTAAAAAAATGTTTACATAACCATACACGTTATGTTTCACACATTTTTCACATGTAGTGCATTTATTTTTCACTTTCACATGATGTTTTTTTTTTGTTTTTTTTTTTTTACACTGTGCAGTATTGCTGCCTGAAATTAAAGGCCATGGTAGTTTTTTTTTTTTTTAATTTCTGATGTAAGTGTCACTAACAGAGTACTGGATCCTGGACAGTCCAAACCTCCACATCTAACACATGACTAACAGACTATTCAGATCCATTACGCCAGTGATTCACCATCAAAATACAAAAATCAGCAGTGACTAATTTCATGTGTGTTTCATTACAAATCATGAGATGTGGTCATAGGACAGTCGTACACAGGGTTTCTGGGAATAGACGAGTGCATCAAGACTAGGATCCTACAGTACTCAACAAAAAATGTTGCAGGAGATATCAGTAAGTGGGCCGATACGAAAGTTTACGGGACAAATATGTTAGCATTTGCAGCATTCTTAGTAAATGGTGGTGGTTTAAATGGGGCTACTAGTATTGGGGAATAGAACCAACAAAATTTGTTAGGAAATTAAATGAAAGTTTTAAATATATATTTTAAACTTTTATATAAGAGACATACAAGAGTAGCTACATTAAAAAGTTAAAACCATTAAACCTTCACATGTAAGCATGAGAAATCTTTGACTAAATTGTTCTCATCAATTCCTTATACAATTATTCATGTTAGTTTAATAAATGGGAAATACTTCAAAGGTTATCTTGGAATCCATGTTTCAGAGAGTGAGTCTTTAGGTTTTAAATATTTATATATATTTTTATATATATATATATATATATATATATATATATATATATATATATATATATATATACAATGATCTTCTGTACAGTGTATTTATAAAAATACACAGAATTTTTCACGCTTAGGCTTTGGGTTCAGATGGGCATTGACAGCCTCTTCGAATACTTCCTTCACTCCATCTTGGTTGAGCGCTGAGCACTCCATGTATTTGGCAGCCCCGATTTCTCGAGCTAGAGCCTTTCCCTGTTGCTCAGTGACAGGAGTCATTTTCTGTTCCTTTAATTTCTGCAAAAGTTCTGGATCCTGCCTGTGGTCTTTTTTGGTTCCTACTAAAAGGATGGGTACATGGGGGCAGTGTTTCGATACCTCTGGATACCACTTCAGCTTGATATTCTCAAAAGAGGTCATGTTGGAGATGGAGAAGCAGATGATGAAGACGTTGGTCTGGGGATAAGAAATGGTTCGCAGACGGTCATAAGCTTCCTGACCAGCTGTGTCCCATAGATTAAGACTGATGGGTTTGGACTGCACTGTGATCTCTGAGCTGTAATTGTCAAACACAGTAGGGATGTACTCCTTTGGAAAGGCATTGGTGGTGTAGGAGATTAGAAGGCAGGTCTTCCCCACAGCTCCATCGCCAACCACCACACACTTGATACTTTGCATTTTGGTCCAGCTTCTTCAGACACCTGAAAAAGGCATACATTTATTGATAGTTTGCCAACTATTAAAACCGGATTTCATAGTTCATAGTTAAATGTTCAGGCTTCATGAGTTGCTGGGAATTGAATACTCACAGCAGTTGATTAATCTATATAAACGAATACATTGTATTTATATAGCACACTTCGTGCATTTAAAATGCAGCTCAAAGTGTTTTACAGGGTGAAGCAAAAATCAGAAAAATAAAGAAACAAAAGATCATAAAAAATAGGCAAATAATAATAATGCAGTAAATAATAGCAGTGCCCGTCACCCTGAAAAGGAGTAAGCGGTAGAAGATGGATGGATAATAGCAGTGACAGAAAGAATGGAGAAAAGTGACACAAAATCTTAACAATAAAAATATACCTAAGTTTAAAAAAGTAAAAGGTGATAATTTAATGAATTAGAAGTAAATAATAAATCCTAGTTAAACACTAAAGTGAAAAATGTTGTTGTTTTTTGATTTGGTTCCACATCAACGATAGATGGAGACTAATGAATGTTTAATATGTTCCAGATCTTTGGTGTATAAAAACACAATGCCGTTGCATTACTCTTTTTGAGTTTTATACATACGAGTATGGAGAAGGCTAGCATGAGTTGATCTCCAGTTTACGGGCATTCAGAGGAAATATGAAGGTACCCTTATGCACAGTTCCTTAAATGTACCTCATTTATACAACTGAACATTTGAGGGTTAAGGGCTTTACTCAATGGCCCAGCAGTGGCAGCCTGGCAAAGCTGGGATTTGAATTCACAACCATCCAAGCAGTAGTCCAACATCTTAACCACTGAGCTACTACTGCCCATTTATTTAAAAATGGGATTTAAAATATAATACGAAGTCCGGAATAAAAACCAATGACAATGTGGAGGAATGAGCTACCACATTGAAGTGTTTCATTCCTCTTACACCACAGCAACTTGTTAGCAATTAATTTTTTTTTATTATTATTATTAAAGGATGACATGTGCTGAGGTACAATCCACTCATGGCATTTCAAATAATTTGTTTGCTCTTACATCTATAATTTTTTTTATGGCATTTGGCAGATACCCTTATTCAGAGCGACTTACATTTATACAACTGAGCAACTGAGGGTTAAAGGCCTTGCCCAAGAGCCAAACAGTGGTAGCTTGGCAGTGCTATGGATTGAACTTCTGACCTTCTGATCAGTAAATAAGAGCCTTTAACCACTGAGCCACCACTGTCTCATTATATATAGTGAAAAAAAAAACAATAATATATTTAAATTAGATCATTTTGACATTTTAACACTTTGCCTGCTTTTTGACGGACGTTTCAACAGCTGGAATCTGACTACAAACAGAATTGATTAGACTTGTATACGTTTCACTACAGAACATAACTATCCAACAGCTTGAAAGTGTGATGTTCATCGTGAGAGGCAACATGTGAGGTTTTAGTCATCTTTCAGCAGATTGATTGTTTTTAGCACTGCTTGTTAAACTGGATTCTTACACAGCTCTTCAAGAAAGGTAAATGTAGAACCACGAGGAAGATAGCCTTGTCAAAATGTAAAAAGTATGATACCGTAACGTTTTGGTGGGAGTAGTTTCTTAAAGACGTCAGGGTGAGTTTTTGGCTGAAAACCTGATTTCATCATTTTTGGCTGCTTACTAGAATTCAGCCACGTTGACACGTGACAGGTTTTAGCAGATTGACACACATCCGAAATATAATTGTTGGCTACTCGTATATTACAGCATTAAATGCAGGAAAAAGGATTACTAGACACAAAAGCTTACACATACATTTTATATATGATTTCTGCTTGCGAGGCTTTTGTCATATTAGATGTTGGGGGGGGGGGTGTCAATAAGAATGTTTTTGTAATAAATTGTCATTTATAAGTATAACACACACAATCTGGTCCTAGTTTGTCTTATTTCAGCTCTATGTACAACTACAATGTAAAAATACATATTTATATTTCATAGTTGAGAGCTTTAACATACCCAGAGCGATGTGATCCTGTGTCTGTAGCGTGCTGTGCTTTATCTGAATTATTCGATCCTCCGACAACAAATTTGTCCTTCACACCCACACAACTATACAGCCATGTCAGCTACATTCACTTGTGTCTTCTAAACAGAAACATTGTGGTCACTGAGTAACGCAGTCATTTTGAGGAAGCAGTCTGTCTCAGAAGGAGCTTTTTTTAAGTCTCCTGATGTGCAATACAGGATTGCGAAATGACTAGTGTAAAGATAACTAAAGCAAAAGTTTATTAGCCAGTAGAACACTGCAGGCACTGTGAGATTTCTGTAGACCATGCTACTCTACATGTCTATAGCATGAAGAAGAAGAAGAAGAATGTGCACGTTCTTGGTAAAAGACACAAAGACTTTATGTGTGTTAGTGCTGTTTAAAAGTGCTGCCAGAGAACCAACGCAAGACCTCAGCTATACTAGGGATATCCTGTTTTACGTGTGATGGGTACCGTATCAGTTGATTTGGTGTGTCATATTCCGGATATTAGTACACATCCTGTTCATATGTCAGCAAAATACAGATAAGCTATGCAGAAAAAAACCCCAAAACGGTTGTGCTTAAAAATGTCATACACATTTCTTTTAACCCACATCAGCATTCAGCATCAGCACTCATTAACACACACCTTTTCTATTACAGTATCTCACAAAAGTAAGTACACCCCTCACATTTTTGTAAATATTTGATTATACCTTTCGATGTGACATCACTGAAGAAATGACACTTTGCTTTGCTACAATGTAAAGTAGCGAGTGTACAGCTTGTGTAACAGTGTAAATTTTCTGTCCCCTAAAAATAACTCACACACACAGCCATTAACGTCTAAACCGCTGGCAACAAAAGTGAGTACACCCCTAAGTGAAAATGTCCAAATTGGGCCCAAAGTGTCAATATTTTGTGTGGCCACCATTATTTTCCAGCACTGCCTTAACCCTCTTGGAAGCATGGAGTTCACCAGAGCTTCAGAGGTTGCCACTGGAGTCCTCTTCCACTCCTCCATGATGACATCACGGAGCAATCTCAAAGTGTGTACTCACTTTTGCGAGATACTGTACATTCAATGTAGATCCTGAATAATGTTCTTTTAATAAAGACTAAATCACTCTGAGTCATGCTGTTATAGAGAACTCATGAACTTTAGGGTGCTAACAGTAACTCTGTGTCATCACACCACCCCAATGTTGATTAGTTTCCTATAAGAGCATGACACAGAGTGATACATTCCTTACATAAAATACATTATTGATTAATTACAGTGAATCTAATAGGAAAGGTGTGTGTTAATGAGAGTGAGTAAAACTGAGTGTGAAGAGTGATGTTATTCCAATTATGCCATTTAAAAAGAAGAAGAAGAACACTATTTTTATACATTTATAGTTACATGTAATGTAATAAAGTTAGTCCCTGTTATATTACATTACTTACATTACCGCAGCGATAAACAGTCGTTGGCCAGATTTACCTCTGACTGTTACAAAGCTCTGAAACTGGACACTCCTTCCATAAATGTTAAATAAACATCTCTCTTCAGAATACTTCACTGTATCAACAATTACATTCAACATTACAGACCAACAATTATGTTTGTTGTTAAATGACAGCACTTTTAAGAAAAAATCCATTTATTACTAGGCTTAGTTGTTTTGTTTTTTAATAATAATCATCATCACTGTCGTCGTCATCATCATCATCATCATCATCATCAAATTCATTCCTTTTCTGTAATCCTTTTACCTTGGTCAGGGTTGGTCTGGGCACAAGGCAGGAGAATTCATCTTGGATGGAAACCAGTGAATCCATAGGAAATCCCTAAGAACGGGGAGAACATACAGTAACTCCACACAGAAAATAACCAAGCTCAGGATACAAGGAGGGAATGCTATAATAATAATAATTCTTATTCTAATTCATACTCTTATATTACTATATTAACCTGAGCTGAGGTTACAGTCTGCATGGTGTTTCATGTGTTCTTTTCATGTGTTGTTTGTGTGGGTTTCCTCTTGATTCCCCAGCTTCCTTCCACTTCCCAAAACAGGCCACTAGGTGGAGTGGCTATGACAAATTGCCCCTGAGTGTGAATGTGTGTGTGGGAAATACGTCAGAGTGTCTCCTTTCAAAAGAGAGCAAAACCATGAATGTACTCCAACTGGTTCAAGAACAACATTAATTTTATTTTTGGGTATGCCTTGGATAGGCGTTATAGGCTAATTTTACTGAATATCTAAGAAGATACTACTACTACTACTACTATTACTACTATTACTACTACTACTACTACTACTACTACTACTACTAATAATAATAATAATAATAATAATAATAATAGGTCCTGGGTTCAATCCTGAGCTCAGGTTACTCTGCATGGTGTTTCGTGTGTTCTCACTGTTCTCACGGTTTCCTTCCACTTCCAAAACAGGCCACTAGGTGGACTGGCTGTGACAAATTGCCACTTAGTGTGAATGCTTGTGGGACTGTATGTGTGTGTGGTGTCCTGTGACATAGAACGGTGTCCAGTGAGTGATTAAATGTGAGTGAGGGAATAATAAGAAGAAGAAGAAGAGAAGAAGAAGAAGAAAAAGAAGAGGAAGAAGAAGAAAAAGAAGACGTGCGAATGACAGTTTGCAACATGAACCAGATGTTAATGATAGTAAAGCCAATAATAAGAAATATATAATAGAGAATTTCACACATATTACATATATTCGGTCAGAAACTGAACATAATGAACATATACTATAACATATAACACTTGCATACAAAATGGAAACCATGGGGGAAAAAGTAGGAAACACATATTGATATCTATTTCAATTCTTTTTTTATTATTATTTCTATCTATTTCTATTTCCTTCTCTCTTTTTTTGCTATTTAATTATTTATATGAATTAATTATGCGATCTGTTTCTGAAAAACAATTAATTAAATAATTTGGAATAAAATGTTACAGATATTCGAGACAAGCTAACTTTTTCATCTTTTCATAACATAAGGTCATACGTTTTAGAATAATATATGCGTTGTTGTTAAGTGACGAGTTAAATGTATTACATGCTAAATGCAGGAGAGGAAAATACTACAGAGTACAAATCTTGAAGATCTCTTCTGCACTCATCCAGCCAATAACTCAGGGCCATATCAGTGAGATCCTGTACGTTTTATTAACATTTCAGGATATCGCATCCAATTGAATCATTGAATCATCTGTAGTAACCTTCTCATGCTACACAATGTAGTTAGAGCTGAAGCTATCAGTGTCTCTGGAAATGGATAATCCATACGGCTACAGTGTTGAACTTGAGGATAAGTGCCCTGGTCCTACTTCAATAAAATGTCAATATAAAATGAGGCGTCTCCTTTTTGAAGGCATGAACACCATTTACATTGACAAAAGCATATTGAAGGAAGGTTTACTAATCTGTTAACATTACCTCGATTGAATTTAACTATTGAAGTCTGTTTTCTTTAGTAATGGCAGGTTAGAGTAGCTGTAGGTAACCTAAAATGGCTAGCAAGCAAGTCAAAGTCTAGCTAACGGTAAATTTGGGTTATTTACTGTACAAGACATTGTACTTCTGTTAATTCATTAGCAAAAACTGCGTAGCATTAGTCACGCAGCAAACTTATAAAGACTGTGTGATGTTTTTAGGCAAAATGGAGTAGCTGCTTTAAAATTAAGGTCATAGTTACTTTTAGGTACTTTTCAAACGCAAACATGATTTTAACCTCATTTTGTGAGTTCAAAACAGTTACTTTTTATGTTTTAGTACCTGAGTAAATTTAAAAGTGA